TGGTCGTTGTTGGGAGAGGGTGGGGTCGTATGTGCCTTTGAGAGAAATTTCCCGCGTTGGGAAAAAATTTTTCCTAATTGTTGAGTGTTCGCGGTTTTTCCTCCTGTTTTCCTGTTTCACGTGTTTTCCTGTTTTTCACTGTCCCCCCCCCCTTCTCCGTGCTGTAGCAAAAGTTCTGGGGAAAAGCATGAAAAGTCCGTCGAGAAAGTGCGGAAAAAGTGGTAGGAAGTTGGGAAATTTTGAGAAACTTTCTCGTCTCACATGTGCTGTTTACCTCCACCCCCCCCCCCCTATTTACCTATTTACCATCTTTCCGAAAATGCTTTTTTCAGGCTCATCAATTGCTGGTCGCAGCGATTACTGCATTTATGCGTATACCACATGCACCAACGGCGCACACGTTGCTGGAAGACTTCTATCGACATGTGAAGAAGCAGAAAGCGTGGAAAAAAGACGTCCAACACCGTCTTGGCTCTTTAATACACGAAGCGTTGAATCAACAACGGTAACGATAACTATCATTCATAGCCTTAGTAACTTCTTTACCATTTACTATCTCATCTAATCTTAACTGATTCGTTTGATCATCTTTCGTACATCTCTCTTCATTTGTTAAGGGTGGGTAGTTACGATGTCTATTTAGTACGTTTTTATTCCTCATTGTTACCCTCTTTTTGTATTTATATTTATTTATTGTTTATTTATTGTTACATGTATATCATATTTATTCAACTTTGAGCCCATAACCATAACCAAACATCTAATAATTGCAAATTTTGATTTTTTTTCCACTGACAAAATTACCCATTTAGAGTTCTAGTAGTGAACAATGGCACTGACTGGTTAAGAAAATCAAATAAAAATTTAGGCGCTAACGTAGCACAGGTACGCGGTCCAGAATGTGACCCTTCAAGTGTTGGGTGACGTGTCAGTGACGTCACATAACACGTAGATGACGTGTCTTGAGACGGCATCGACGACGTCATTACAGGTTTTCTCGTGCTGACTTATTATGTGACAAGTCATCCCCTGATTCCTAACAGTTAGCGGACCTCAGCTACATCTGCGCTGAAACTCATTCATCTCAAATACGATTGGCACTGTAAAGAGAAAGAGAGCTCTTAAAATTGTATAGTCGTGATCCTTGCAAACGATAGGGCGTGTGAGGGGGGCTGATTTGCATCGCAGCCAAAACAGCCTTCCCGCCAATTGTTGCGTGACGTCACTGACTGAAAGTTCGCCTTGGCAGCACTCCAATCCACGCCCCGTCACCCGCCTCTATCGTTTGCAGGGATCATGACCGTAACTGATTCGGGAAATAATTCGTGAAAAACATCGTTGCCCTGATTGTCCTCATTTTTCACTCAAACCGTAACAAACCCTTTATTTATTCGTATACGCTCTGTTTTTCTCGTGTATTGTATATGTACAATCATTTACCACATCGTTCAATGCCCTTCGTGTACGTTCCTCGTGTTTGCATACCTCCATTTGATCAATAAATTTACTTGTCGATATGTAGAATTTGTTGAAATTATGGGAATTAGTAAGGTATTCACCGTGAATCAGCTCCGTTGTGCTGTACCGCGCAAAAGAAACTCAAAAATTGATGAAAATTCGGTAAGCGCTTACTTTTTTGAACAAAAACGTGAGGTGCCAGATGGTAATCAAGCACAGGGGCTATTAGTCAGTTGGTAAACACGATTCGGCGCAGAGCCGCGCCCTCTACACCAGCCGTGTTTCTCTGCGAGCCTACACCTGGAAGGGGACGAACCCACTCTCGAAATTTCCTTTGTGTGTAACCACCTCCCCTGGTTCCATCCTATGTCCATTCTCCCTAAATCTCTATCCCATTTTCGCACCTTTGCAGATTTTTTTCTTCTCCGGTTTCCTTAAGAAAACTGGCGTTAAGAGAATGTGGCGAATACGCCTCCCCCCTCCTTCAGCGACCGGATAGACCCCCCCCCCTGGGAGCCCTAACGTCGTCGTGGCCCTTGGTTCTGTCGCCATTCGCTTGCCGTGCCTTGCCTCCGCAGTATTTTCTCCTCTACAAAGCTTACGTCCTAGTCTAATAGATAGCTGCGAGGGTTTTCTTCTTTCTTGAAGAAACTTGCTCTAGAATGGCTGCGGCAACGCGTGCGATAAACGCTGGGCGTTGCACGACGCGGGTATAGAGAGGTCTTCGCGGGAAGATTATCAATCATCAATAATAATCTGCATCATCAAAAATACTCGTGAAAACCTCCTCTTCCATGAAACGGAAATTGTGCTAAGTGAAATGTGAAACGACATGTGTGGGTAGTTTCCTCGTTCAGCGAGTGACGTCGCGCGGAATAACTCGCGTCGAAAGGCACAGTCATGCTGGTCGTGTGGACGGGAGCCACAGTTGTGGGCTCCGTCCACACCACTCCCACTTGGACGCACCGCTTGCCCCTAATAGCTCAAAATAGGGCGTCATTAAGCAGGAACGCCATAAGGGTTTATTAACTCCGCCACACGCAATCCTGCTTTGGGAAGTAATTTTTGTAGTGAGTTTGATGGTGTTTTTAGGGGAACGAAACAGTTTTGAAATTATTTCCCATTTGTTCACGGTTCGTTGAGGCAACTTCTTCATAACACAGGCAGCCGGCTTTACTCTCCATTGTCGTCCGAACGTTCAATCACGCCAAACTCACATCAAGCTATGTTGCGAAGAATCTCTTATCTGATCGTCCGATGATATGCCTCGTGCGACAGGCCGGAGACGATTCTTTCGCTGGGTTCACCACCTAAATAAGATTTACTAATTGAATATTTGTGCTGGTACTGAATCACCGTTAATTTTAGAATGGGAATCAAGTTGTGGTGTTTCAATAGTATTGGTCTGCTACAGACCTGCTCAGGTGGCCAATTTTACTTGGATTCAAGTCGATAACTCGAATTTTACCTAGATTCTCCTCGAAACGTTCAATTTCTCAAAGAAAAGCTAAGCTATGATTTCCATACAGCTTCCCTTCAAAACGCAGTAGTTGCCGCGCGCGGCTCGCGTCGCTCAGGTATACGACACGTAGGGACAAATGCCCTTTACGCAAGGTTGAAGTGGTTCCGACTTTCTAGCTCGTCCTTTATCAGCAGCGCAGGTCACGCCTTTACAATGACACTTTCGAGGGCCATAAGCTTTGAAATGATATGCGCTTGGAGTTGTGGTGGAAAATCGACATCGATGTTGCGGAATACTCAGCACAAATTAATATAACTATTCCCGGTTGGGTCGTGATTTACTGCAGCACTCTGGCCCGCGTTTAGCTGATAGGTGCGAATGTTGCGCCAGGGCGACGTGTTGCAACGGTCGCCTATCCCACATGGGCGCAACGCGTACTTAAAGGCAGTCGGCACGATAATTTGGTACTCGACCTAAAATGCGAGCAGGGCGCTATATAGTGGGAAAACGATGAAAAAACGAGGTGAAACGTCAAAAACCTACGAAGAAAAGCCGTTCTTTTGGCGATTCGAAAAACCGATTTCGGGACGAGTTTCCTGGCAGGCACTTAGCCAATACGGCTGCAACGTATAACCATTGCAGCACCGCGGGCACCTTCATGCCCATCCCCTTACTTCAATCTTTTAATTAGTAAGTGAAGCAATACGACCATCCAGTACAGTCGTCCTTTGTGGGTGGCGAATCGCGTCAGTCCGTCATGGTAGGCGTAGTTAATCCTACTCGTCGTTAGGGTTTAATCGATGCCCAACTGCTTCGACAAAGGCATGCCCGCGTGATCGAAGGTGACCAGCGAAATGCTTTCCGTGGCATTTGCATCGTTATGTCGCGCAACTCCACACAGAGTATACCACTTTTCGTCACTCGAAATGACGAGATGCCGAAGCTAGAGACACGTGAGTATTGCAGCCATTGCAACCGCGATTACTTTCACTCTGCAAGAGAACGGCTCACAAGCGGAATCGCGTGCGCACGTAGCGTTGCCTGGAGCGTCGTAGAGCAATTTCCTATGCTCTTGCGCGAATTGGTTGCAGCCTAAATCCTGCTGATTGGCCTGTCCTCATGTTAAATTGTCCAAGCCGCGCCGCGGCCCACTGCTAGGGTGGGGGAAGGAGGTTTCGCTTCCTTATCTAGTGGAGTTTTTGATGAACTACTGGTTCATGATTGAGCACCTGCCACCTGTTTCACTGATGACCTCAGAAATTGTCTTTAATGTCCTACACCATAGCCTAGGTGGCTTTGACTCCCAGTCGCGGCATCACAGTACCAGTAGATTTTGAGAGGTAGAGTAGCCGCTGCCATGTTGAGACGTTTTGGCTTTTGGTTGCGTACGCCATCCAACTTAATAACCGCGACTAGTACTGCTCCGACCCCCCCCCCCCCCCCCCCTTCCTCCACTCACAGCATCACTCACATCGTAACTTGGCGGCTTGTTCAATGATCTTATGTAGTCTTCGCAGAGATTCAACGAATCTCTCGTGATTGTTCGCCCGAAGAAGAAATGCTTGTCGAACGCTGCGATCCATATTGCGGAGTCGTGTGTAGTACTTGCGGACGAGGTCTCTTAAAAATAAATTTTTCGAAAAAAAGAGAGGAATAAATATGTTAGTGACAGCAGAACGACCTACAGGTCATCGATGACAATCGCATCTTCTGCTCTGACGACCACCTCCATCAGCATGCTCTGTTTTTCTGTGAGGTCTGTTGTTAGACGATCCCGTACGTCATACATTGAATCTAGCTGAAAGATCAAAAGTCATGAATGATGGACTTGCGGAAGTCGGGAATCGGAACAAAGCGAGCGATTTTGAAGACGACTTCTGGCGACTCAGAAGTCTGCCCAACGTACAGGATTGGTGCTCAATGGAGGGTCGGGCGGGCCTTGCTCCATACGTATGTTTTAGCACGGCGCCTGTCGTTTCCCACCAATCGTTGCCAGAACAGGATGGGCAGCCGTTGATGGGAGTAGGCCGGCCAGTGACAAAACGTACTGTCATGGTCCCTGCAAACGATAGGCAGTGCGACGGTGGCGAGGCTTGAAGCATGGCGAATGCAAGTTTCCACCACTTGTAGTGGGCTCAGGATGGCATCATTTGTGGAAAAAGGCTGGTTGCACTCAATACACGCCACGCCACACGCCCTATCATTTGCAGGGATCGTAGAGAGAGACGTCTCGACCCGACACTGCGGTAACCTCTGTAAACGCTGCTAGCGAAGTCCAGAGAGCCACGCGCAGACGTTTTTAGCTCGCCTGGTTCCGAGTTCCGCTTCCCGCTTCCCGTGAAATAAACAGCTATCGATTTCTTCAGCTCTATTTCTTAGCGAAAAAGCATCATTTTTCGAACTTAAAAGAGAATCAGTATGAGCTGCCAGACTCACCTCATTACAGATTTCCTCGACCTCAGCGAATTTGTCGGGAAACTCGGCATGTGCTTCCAAAGACTCAATAACAAAATAATCGCAAAGCGATTGTATGATATTGCCAGCAGTCTCCATACAGTCGTGATAGATCACCGTCTAGATCAAGGAAAAAATAAAACAAGACGGCCAGAAATACCGGACGCGATTCGCCGGTCAGCGGCGCGAGCGCTTCGCGGAAGAGGCTGACTTTAAACAACGAGGCGCAAATGCCGTGTCACGCTTAGTCAATGCACTACGGGTAGCAAATATGTATGAGGCTGGGGCATAAATTCCTGATTATGTAGTTTGAGCCTCTTCTGGTAACTTCTGAGAAGATCAAAAAATTCTTAGTCAATGCAAATGTAAAGAATGTTCCACAACAAAGTGAAGCTCTAAAACTCATACAAAATAACGAAAGCAATAGAAGCCCCGAAATCCCTTAATCAAAATTTATTTATCTTGCCTATGCTTTCGGTGCTTAGCACCTCCGTCAGGTTTGAAATGAGAGCAGTTGATGTGAAAAAGTTTTCTGCTCTAATAATTTGATGGGATTCTTTTTGATTGTGAGCAACTCAAATCCAATTCAGTATATAAATCAGTATTACAGTTATAACCCCAGCGAGCGCAGACCTAACGAGGAAGCATAGGGTGAATCTCCCAATCGACATCTCCAAACCTGTGGTACGTACCTTTCCATCAGTTTGATAATGTAAGATACATAGCGATTGATCTCGCTTCGATGCCAGGCCAAGAAAACGAATTTCCATTTTATCTTCTTCAGGATCCACTGGGAAGTCGATGTCAATAAGAAACGTGTCCATCACCCAGTCAAGAATCTGGAAATATATCACCCATTATCACTTATACAAAGGTATCACTGACAGAAGGCGGAGGTGGTGTAGTGACAAGTGGCGCGCTTACCACTCGCGCGGTCCCGGGTTCGAATCCCGGGTCGACTCCCGCCAAGGTTGGTTTCTTCGATTTTTCAAAGCCTGCTATCTCTGGGGGACGGTAAATTGGTACCAGATCCTTCTGGAGGATAAAAACACTGACTTGTACATCGGCTGGACCCCCGCAAGCCATTGCATAGGCCAGATGACATTCAATAAGCGACTACGATCCTGAATGGAAGTAGAATTCGTACCACAAAGGGATTGAAAGGGCAAAGAATTTAACCTTTGTCCTTTTATCACTGATAGTGAACCCATTTTCTTTTGGAGATCTCAATGATATTTTTTTTGCTTCCTCATGAACACTAGTCAATATTCGCAATATTTGACTGGGATGGTGGTCGGTGACACTGTCCCAGGGAGTGCGGGCTAGGATATCCGAGAAGCAGCGGGGTGGCGAAAAAGGCGTTGCATGTTCCAGGCATGCGCGGCATTCGCACCGCACCGCACTAGCACCGCATTGATTTGACGCCCGTGCGCCGCAGTAGACAGAGTTCAGACAGGAAAAGTGAGGCGTTCTGTAGGAGAACCCGGTGTAGTCGCCATTTAGATTCCTTGACTTAATTTTTTCTGGCATTAGGCCATTGGGAGTGGCCTCGTTCCCGATTTCGCTCAATTTCCCAATTTAATTCCGTGGTGCTTCTCGGAAATTATGTGAATCAATCATATATTTTCGCTTATATCTTACGTCACTTATCTCACATTTCCTTTACACTGCTGTCCATACCACAACGCCTGAAGTGGGTGAGGGCGGACCCCATTATGAGCGCTGAGACGGCTGCGTATATTGCCGTCAAGGGCAACTGCATTTCGATAGTACGGTGCACTGTTTTTTCTGTGCCTCTGTCCTGCCATCTTTCCCTTGACCGACAAAATTCCGCAGATACGCAACAGAGTGGCCGCCCCTCTTACGGAAGGATCCGTAGACACGCCTTCTTCGGCTGCCGTGACATGAACAGTAGCTGCACCTCACTCAACTGGGCTGAGGACTACAAGATTACACATTCAGGCTTTGACAGGACGCTGCTAATCTTGGGAGGGGCACACTTTAGCAAGGCCAAACCTGTTGGCTCTCTAAGTGTGAAAACTGTACAACTTTGTCAACACACTGTAAGCCTTGTAATCATTTGTCAAGCACCTTGTAAACTCTTGTCAAGCGTTGAAACAAGTGATCAAGATTTGTAAAAAAAATATAGAAATGGCGTTTGAGTGATGCTAATACCATCTTGCCAGGAGCTTACAGGGCACTTTACAGGAAGTGACACGAATACAAGGTGAGACAGATTGTGAAACGACAAGATAAATAAAGACAGACATTGAAAAGCCTACAGGGGGCGCCCCCTTGACTGTGTAGTCGAAGTGGAGAATTTCCCATGTTCACTCCTTCCACTATCAATTTTTCTTACTATCGTCGAAAAAACTCACCCGCTGATTTCGGATTTTCATGACGACTTCAACATATGACGTAGGCATGACGAATACGTCATCTGACTGCAGAACACAAAATCGTGCGAATCTTGGAATTGATAGCGCCGTTTCGAAAACGCTCAGTTTATTTCTGAAACGATATTGCATCTATACTACGCATG